TCAAACTACTTACTTACACAAACCACAACTGGTTAAATAAAAAATGCTAGGAGCAGTCACTCTTCACAACACAGAAATAACTAGTTTTGTATTTTTCAGACTCAAACACAAGTACCACATAAAATTTTATGTGATTGATTTTTTTCTGTAAGTTAAAAAAGTCCATAAAACCTATTTTGTCAACTAAGGCCAAAAAAAGTAAAGGATATGAACTTTTTACTACCTAAGGTGTATCTTCAATGTACTGAGGAATAAAAGAATGTTATGACAAAGTAGGATGAAATAGCATGAAGAGTTTAAGAGACATTTTGGAGACATCAAGGTTTTTACACCCAAAATCATGGAATAAGAGTGTAAGATGAGGTAATGCATTTGATCTTAGGAAAAAAAAAAGCCATGTGATAATAAATACTGTCATTGTAAATTAGATCTATATGTTTCCATTCCAAAAGGTGGTAAGGGGAAAAAAAATTAAAAAGTTGAAAAAGGTTATTTCTTTACTATTAAAAGAGACAATGTGTGAAAGAGATGGCTAATATATTAATATGGTCATTGTTCATCACCCTCACCCCTCAACAAGTCACCTCCTAATATATATTTAGGATATATATATACACAAACATATTTGCAATCAGAAAAAAAAAAAAAAAAACTCTTGCCTAATTTAAAAATATTCCTGAACCTCTTATCGATCAATATCTCTCATAGAAAGGACAAGAGTACAGCATCTGAACTGAAACAGTATTATTAGAAAATGATACTGTGAGCATTACGATGTATAATTCATGTTGCCTTCATTTGCTCAGACCATCCTAAAAATCCATAAATCATTTTCTTCTTCGTGTATTGCTTAAGTGCAATTTGTCATTTTGCATTAGAGGGTTGCTTTAGCTCATCAGCGCTTTTAATTCACTGTTTAGAGTTTAACAAAATGCTGGCCCTTTTTGATAACTGAAAAGACACTGAAATTTGAAGCCACACTATTATTAACCAGCTTAAAGGAAATGGATAAGTATATTTCTATTTTGAATATCAAGATAATGGTACTTAATGGAATATCTAGTGTTCTCAGTTCCAAGAACAAGAATTACTTCTTTCTGTTGGGTTCAAAACATTAGAACACAAAAACCAAAGAGTTGTCTGAATGCTATAAATCTTTCCAGAAATGCTAGTGAACATTCACTGATCTTTACTATAAATGACAGAACACAGTGTCTGTAGCACTGGCTCCAAAGCACTGTCTTTCCACCTCTTAAGTTACACCACAAGAAATAAACATGTTTCCTGGGTATCCATAAGAGATTCAATTAAGTCCAGTTCTTTGCATTTGTTCTCTGTGTTGTGTTACCTGGGAATGACATGAACCAGGAACCAACTAGTTGAATCATGGATGAGCCTGGCATTTGGAACGTTCCTTATTGACAACTTTTTTTTTTTCCCCTTAAAAAAAAGCACGACTATTCTCTCAAAGCCCCGGGCACACTGCAATAATAAGAGGATTTAGAAACAAATTGCTTTCCAGTCATGTTAAATCACTGCAAACACTCATTTATCCAAAAGCTGGTTAACAAACTTGCTTCCCTTCTGCCCTCTTCAGTAAAGGGTAAGGAAGAAAGCAACCCCATTACCTAGTTTCAAAGTTTCTAACTAAGTATATAAAAGAGGCATTGGTGGGATCCTTGGTGTCCCTCCAGCCTTCCTACCCCTCATTTCTGCAGCACTTAGTCCAATGAAATACATGAACATGCATTATCACTCAAGCAGGACCTTCATGAAAATTGACTTTGACCCCAACCTCTCTCCTCCTAAAAAAAGAAAAAAAAGTGCTTCTTCACTTTGTCTTAGGATACAGTTTGTTTTAGCCCAGCTGGTTGGCCACTTATGGGGAGCTAGGCTGGTTTCTTACATATGTAGGGATTGCTTCTCCATTCTTACTACATTAATGGTGAGGAGAAGGACGCAGTGTTTTTCGATCTTCTTCACTTCAAAGAGGTCACCAATACCACCATAGAGGCTTTTAATTGTGTAACTAAGGCCTCACTACTTTCCGAGGACCCTAGGGAGGATGGGGTGGGCGGGACAGAAAAGGAAAGGGGAGAAAAATCTGCTTGAATACCCCAGCGGGTAGAAAGCAAACCGTTTACATTTAAGAAGCGTCTTTAAAAGGCTTGTTTAAAGTGGTTTTGTTTGGTGGTGGTCAGGGTGGGATTGTTTTAATGGCTCCAGGGTAAGGAGGCAGAGACAGCTATTAACGCCAGTATCTGAAACTTGGCTCTAAACAAAATGCTCTTGCAGTTGCCCTTGGCCGGTGCTGCCTAGCGAGAGATGGAGAGCTTGGCTTGGGTCTGTGCTCCCCCGAAGAAGACCCCTTAGTCACCCGGCGGATCCCACGCCGGCGCCACGGGGACTGGAAGTCCTAGAAGCGAGACCTCTAGAGGATCTAGGCTGGGCGTCGCCAACGCGGACATAGGCCTTTGCGATGCGAGAAATCCCGCAGAGTCCCCAACTGGCGAACCCTGACGAACAAGGGCTCCAAAGCAAAATCCTCTCGCTTGCCTTTTGCTGTTTTCGCCGCTAGGAGACGCCTGTAACCCACGTTTGTGGAGAGTGTCCCATTCAACCAAGTCTGCCTCAAAAAAAAAAAAAAAAAAAAAGCAGCTCAAGTGTTACAGTGTACGTAGCTATTATTTACAGGCAAATCTGGTTATCTCTCCTCGTTCTTATCCCTACCTTTGGAAGATCTCTGGTTTCCACGAACACCCCAAGTCAGCTGCAACTTCATCTATATTTCTAGAGCAGAAAGATCCTTTTCCCAGTTTCTGGATCTGCATTGTCATTCAGCCGCATGCCTCTTACACGCAAACAGGGGCGCGCGCGCGCGCACACACACACACACACACACACACAAGTATTCCAGCTATACAAACGAACACATTAGAAAATTACCGTCATATAAAACATGCTCCTGGATTCTGATGAATCTTCTTGAAGAGCTCAAAACATTTCATTTCAATCCTGAAGAAATGGGAAAAAAGGGGGGGGGAGGGGCGTAAAGTACAGATGCAATGCCATATTAATATTCAGATACACTATAATCTCCTTTTCATTGATCCACAGGTCCTTTCATAAACTATTGCTCCATTCTCAGCCGCAGATGCTGAGAATCATTTTAACTTGATGCCGAAATCATTTTAACTGCAGCGGTTTCTCTTGGCTTTGGCCAGTCGTCAATTTACTGCAGCTGGAAAAGGATTAGCCATTTTTGCTGGCATCCTTTCCTTCTAACCGCTCAAAGACAGTACTCATCTCCATGAAAAACTGGGGGAGGAGGGCAGTAGAAACGCACTCACGGGACTTGCAGGGGCTTGCCTGAGTCTACAATCACGCCCACGGACTCTTGCCCTCCTTAATTCCCTGAGGGGAGAGAATGGCAGCACATCGGGGTCAAGGAAAGGACTTTCCTTTTCCTTTTCCTGCAGACTATGTTGGTGTTATTCTCAGGTCATCATTACCAGGAAGTCACAAGATAGCTTCCTATGTTGTGACATACAGAGACTAAATAAACAACCCAGTCCTTGAGAAGAACCTATTAATTAATATAAAATATATTGTCTTTTCTTGAAGAATAAGTATTCAAACGACTTTCTAGACCTTAAGAGTTCGGTGTTATATTTTAACTTAACAAGAAGCGGGTGCGTGGATGCACCGCGTTGCCCTCGCGCGTCGGGAGTGGACACTGCTCTCCAAGCCCACATTCAGTACACGGAAAGGCTCCGTTGGGGTTTACACAGAACTGTGCATGGAGGAACGCTGAGACCAGCATACATGTGCAAGTGCGTTCTCTGATACTCACAACAACACACACACTCGGACCCCATGTACTCCGCCATGTGCACCACGCATGTAAACCGCCCTCCCGCGGCCCCTGCTGCCAGCCCTCTGGGTTCCGGCCGCCTGACCTCGGCCTAGGCAGTAATCAGTGCCTCAGTTCAACATTGGAGGCTAGGAGGTGATCTCCGCCCTTCAGAAAACAGACAACACGGCGCGGCAGCTGAACACTTGGCAGCGCGACGCGCAAGGATATCGTAGGCGTCTCACAGCGCCCAGTGGTGCTATGTGCTCTGTGCACTGTGCCCACAAGCCCAGCGCTAGGATGGCGGGCTCTAAGGCAGAAGCTGAGATGAAACTCCTCAGTCATTTACCAAAGGGCTCACAGCTCCAAGCTAGGACCCTGAGCAAGTTAATCTACTGGTTGAGAATTTTGTGGATATGCATTGAAGGAGGGAAAAGACACATCTTAACGTATTACATTTATAAGAGCTGAGTACATTATCCCGTTGCGTGAGTCCTTTGGCTTTTTTGGACTTATCTCTGTCCCCCACCCTAACTGCTTTCCATACAGCTCTTTTAACCCTCAGGCTAAGTTTGGCATATGCCACATTACATCCATTTTTTGAATGTCCTGGCAACTTCAGCCAGAATTCTTTAATTAGGTAACACAGGCCAATTAGTGGTCCTTCTGCAACTTTTCCCCCCTCGCGGTGATTTATTTCCACGATCAGGAACAGGGAAAATACCTTAAAGGAAAAAGAATGTTAACATCACTGGAAACCCCGCTCCTGGGAGATGATACCGCTGCTGTTGTTATTATGTTTTCGCATTTGCTGATGCAAACAGGGGAACCTCTCTATTCCCTCCCCATTACCTGCGGCTGGGGACTGGGAACTTTCCGCGGCAGAGTCCCCAGCTATCACCTCGGGACCTGCCGAGCTGTTCTCGTTCTCACACTCACACTCACCGGGGTAGTCCAGGCTCTGGCTAGGCCCCGCCCCTCCCGCCTGCCGCGTGACGCTTCTGCTTGACGGCCACAGTGACCAGTCAGTAGCGAGCCGCTCCTCATCGTGGGTGGTGCTTCTCATCGATTGGTTGGCAGAATGAGGCCGCTGCGCAAAAACAAAGAAGCGGAGCGCTCGGAGCTCAGAAACTGCTAGCGGAGATCACAGTCTCTGAGGCTGAGGCTAGGGTAGGGAAGAAGGGACTGTAAGGGAGAGAGACAGATTAGAGGGAAAGAGGTTTGGGAAGGAAACAACAGAAAAGAAACTGCTTATCACACTAACAGAGAGGCAAATGACGGTGGAGATGAGAACAGAGAAAGACAAGACTATGAAAGGCAAAAAATATAAATAGAGAGAAAAAGGGAAAAATGCCAAGAAGAACATCCATCCGAAGAAATGAAGAGAATGAAAGTTTTATGCTGCAGAACCGTTCCGTGCTTTTCCGGCACAAAATTCTCTCGCTGTTTTTAAGCCCTTTTGCATTTGCCAGCAGTTGACATTAGGAGGCATGTTCAGCGGTGCCAGCAGCATCTCCTCTTCCTTCTCCTCTTCCTCTTCATCTTCCTCCTCCTCTTTCTTTTCCTCCTCCTCTCATCAGCAAGAAGACAAACCGAGGACAGTCTTGAAATATCGAAATTTCCTCCTTGGGATTTGCCAACGCCGCGTTGCGTCAAGACTGTCGGAATAAAGGACGCTGACTATTGTATTATCATTATTTTATTAATTGGTCAGTGGGAAGATTACAGACGAGGAAAGGGGACGCCTGTCACCCTTCCTGCGCTAAGACTGAAAAATGAGGCTGGATTGGGGGGAAGCCCTAAAATGAAGCAAAAGGAATAGGATTTTTAAAGGCAGAAAGCCACAGGAGCCCCCCACGTAGCGCACTTTTATTTGTTTTGGGGTTTTATTTTTTTTGAGATTTTCTTTTTTCCTTGGTGGTGGGGGAGGTGATTGGGTGGCTGACTGGCTGAGGGAAGCTGCTTCCTTTCCCTTTGGAGATGATTGTGCTATTATTCTTTGCCTTGCTCTGGATGGTGGAGGGAGTCTTTTCCCAGCTTCACTACACGGTACAGGAGGAGCAGGAACATGGCACTTTCGTGGGGAATATCGCCGAAGATCTGGGCTTGGACATTACAAAACTTTCGGCTCGCAGGTTTCAGACAGTGCCCAACTCGCGGACCCCTTACTTGGACCTCAACCTGGAGACCGGGGTGCTGTACGTGAACGAGAAGATCGACCGTGAGCAAATTTGCAAGCAGAGCCCCTCCTGCGTCCTGCACCTAGAGGTCTTCCTGGAGAACCCCCTGGAGCTGTTCCGGGTGGAGATCGAGGTCTTAGATATCAATGACAACCCCCCCTCCTTCCCGGAGCCGGACCTGACTGTGGAGATCTCTGAGAGCGCCACGCCAGGAACTCGCTTCCCCTTGGAAAGCGCATTTGACCCAGACGTGGGTACCAACTCCCTGCGCGACTACGAGATCACCCCCAACAGCTACTTCTCCCTTGACGTGCAAACCCAAGGGGATGGCAACCGATTCGCAGAGCTGGTGCTGGAGAAGCCGTTGGATCGAGAGCAGCAAGCGGTGCACCGCTACGTGCTGACCGCGGTGGACGGGGGAGGAGGGGGAGGAGGAGTAGAAGGAGGAGGAGGCGGAGGGGGGAGCCTGCCTCCCCAGCAGCAGCGCACTGGCACAGCCCTACTCACCATCCGAGTGCTAGACTCCAACGACAACGTGCCCGCCTTCGACCAACCCGTCTACACTGTGTCCCTCCCAGAAAATTCGCCCCCAGGCACGCTTGTGATCCAGCTCAACGCTACAGACCCAGACGAGGGCCAAAACGGCGAGGTTGTGTACTCTTTTAGCAGCCACATCTCGCCCCGGGCGCGAGAGCTCTTCGGACTCTCTCCGCGCACTGGCCGACTAGAAGTGAGCGGCGAGCTGGACTATGAAGAGAGCCCTGTGTACCAAGTGTACGTGCAAGCCAAGGACCTGGGACCCAACGCGGTGCCTGCGCACTGCAAGGTGCTGGTGCGAGTGCTAGATGCGAACGACAACGCACCGGAGATCAGCTTTAGCACGGTGAAGGAGGCGGTGAGTGAGGGCGCCGCGCCGGGCACAGTGGTGGCCCTGTTCAGCGTGACAGACCGCGACTCCGAGGAGAATGGGCAGGTGCAGTGTGAGCTGCTGGGGGACGTGCCGTTCCGCCTCAAATCTTCCTTCAAAAACTACTACACCATCGTGACTGAGGCCCCCCTGGACCGAGAGACCGGGGACTCCTATACTCTGACTGTAGTGGCCCGGGACCGGGGCGAGCCGGCACTCTCCACTAGTAAGTCCATTCAGGTGCAAGTGTCAGATGTGAATGACAACGCGCCGCGCTTCAGCCAGCCAGTCTACGACGTGTATGTGACTGAGAACAACGTTCCAGGCGCCTACATTTATGCTGTGAGCGCCACAGACCGCGACGAGGGCGCCAACGCCCAGCTAGCCTACTCCATCCTCGAGTGCCAGATCCAGGGCATGAGCGTCTTCACCTACGTGTCCATCAACTCCGAGAACGGCTACTTATATGCCCTGCGCTCCTTCGATTATGAGCAGCTCAAGGACTTCAGTTTTCAGGTGGAAGCTCGGGACTCTGGCAGCCCTCAGGCGCTGGCGGGCAACGCCACTGTCAACATCCTCATCGTGGATCAGAACGACAACGCTCCTACTATCGTGGCGCCCTTGCCAGGGCGCAACGGTACACCGGCGCGCGAGGTGCTACCCCGCTCCGCGGAGCCTGGTTACCTACTCACCCGCGTGGCCGCTGTGGACGCTGATGACGGCGAGAACGCCCGACTCACCTACAGCATCGTGCGAGGCAACGAAATGAACCTCTTTCGCATGGACTGGCGCACCGGGGAGCTCCGCACAGCGCGCCGGGTGCCCGCCAAGCGCGACCCCCAGCGGCCTTACGAGCTGGTGATAGAGGTGCGCGACCACGGGCAGCCACCTCTGTCCTCCACAGCCACTCTGGTGGTGCAGCTGGTGGATGGCGCCGTGGAATCCCAGGGAGGGGGCGGGGGTGGAGGTGGGGGACCAGGAGAGCATCAACGCCCTAGCCGCTCCGGTGGCGCAGAGACCTCACTGGACCTCACCCTTATCCTCATCATCGCACTGGGCTCAGTGTCCTTCATCTTCCTGCTGGCCATGATAGTGCTGGCGGTGCGTTGCCAAAAGGAGAAGAAGCTCAACATCTACACGTGTCTGGCCAGCGATTGCTGCCTCTGCTGCTGCTGCTGTGGCGGGGGAGGCTCGACTTGCTGTGGCCGCCAAGCCCGGGCGCGCAAGAAGAAACTTAGTAAGTCAGACATTATGCTGGTACAGAGCTCAAATGTACCCAGTAACCCGGCCCAGGTGCCTGTAGAGGAGTCCGGGGGCTTTGGCTCCCACCACCACAATCAGAATTACTGCTACCAGGTCTGCCTGACCCCAGAGTCCGCCAAGACCGACCTGATGTTCCTTAAGCCCTGCAGTCCCTCTCGGAGTACGGACACTGAGCACAATCCCTGCGGGGCCATCGTCACCGGCTACACCGACCAGCAGCCCGACATCATCTCCAATGGAAGCATATTGTCCAACGAGGTAAGGCTGAAGCTAAAGGACCACCATCTCTCATCTCCTCCATCTGAGAGCCTCCTCTAGCCCGGCCCTGGTATCTTTGGTGCACTGTGTGTGTATCTGTAGGATATTAGCTTATTTGTATCGTTGTGGGGGCGGGGAAGGGGAACGACCTCTCCCACTCCTTCATGTGTAACCTAACTACTTGTTGTTTCTAATCTTTTGCGCTCCACCCCTCCACGTTTATTTTCATTTCCTCCCCTTGGTGCTTTGCTACCTTGGAGCTCCCTCCTTCCTCTCCCATCTTTCCTTTAAAATCCGAATCTCCTCTCAATCCTTTCCCTTCTCAGAAACCTTGGCGTAAGTGGGAAATGCGGGAAGGGAGGGAGAGTGCGGAAGAGGGACTTTCTAGCTCTGGCAAAGATCTTTTCCGCTTTGGTCTGTCCCAGGCATTAATAAAGTTGATTCTATTTTACTATGTTTACCGATGCTTTCAGTCGCGTGTAAAAGTAAGCTATAGATTGTTTAACTTTGCACAGTTGTCTTAACTCGAATGCATGTTTTAGTGAATGAGTTATCAGATCCTTGTCCTCTGAACTCGGGTTGCAGAAAAGCCTTCATTTATTCTCTGGACAGCATTTACCGACGCTCTTGTAGCCGAATGGCCACACAGTGTGAATTTGAATGAAGTTGCTTTGGCACAAACCCCTGTAAGAGTAAACTAACAAAAGGCTTAAACGATTGTTGTCTTGCATATATCTTTTACCCAATAATCGCTTGCTTGCCACTGTTTTATTTATTTATTTATAAATTTCTGCTCTTGGCTTTCTTCATCAAATAATTTGGCTTGTCAATTCAGCTTTCTCTTTAAAGATGGAGAAGTGCCTAAGTTGGAGGAGGGTGGAGAACAAGTTGATTTATGTAAAAGAAAGTTTGCACTAGAAAAGGCATGTGGGTGGTGGAGGGAGAAGAATGCAGAGGGCTTTTGGAGGGGAAAGAATTGGGGAAGGGTTATGAATTCTTTTCTTGGCAGGTTATTTTATTTGAGTATTAGACATTATTAATTGATTTTCATGAATATTTGTACAGCTCATTTGTATCTTAAACACATTTTGAAAATAAACAACAAAATAATTCCATGAAATAGCCAAACTTTTTTTTCTTATTGAGCGTGCTGTTTTTCTTGTGTCAACCAGTATTCACCTAAACACGTTTTTTAGGCTACTAAAAGAAAGACTGCACAGTGTAATTAGGTTGACTCTGTTACAGACAGTGGTTTATGAGCACTATGAGGTCACATGCACTCTCTTAAAAAAAAAAAAAAAAAACTAAAGTCAGCCTTTATTTCTACAATTTAAAAAGTGTTGTTGTTGTTTGTTTTTCCTTTTCATCTGACCGAAAAAAATAAACTCAAGTTTCTTTGCTGATGTCTGCATATCTCCTTTACCCAGCCATCATTAAGTGGAGATGTTAGATGAGCTTTGAAATTCCTAAGAATGTACAACAATTACTTAAGCTAGTTTTGCACCTAACTTCAAGAGCAGGCTATTAGTTAAGCCCTTATTTTTCAAATACTCTTGATTTATTTATTTTCTTTTTCCTAGACTAAACACCAGCGAGCAGAGCTCAGCTATCTAGTTGACAGACCTCGGCGAGTTAACAGGTATGAACTATTTTCCCAGCTTGGAGTATGGATATTTCACTACCTATAAAAGCAGAAAGTAGGTATATTCTCAGGTATTAAAATATGAAAATTTATAAAGTATTTCTGATTAAGACAGGCCATAACTATTGATTATGTTGGTTTTTTTTTTCTAGACAATGCATTAAAATATATGTACGTGCTTCATTTGTTTACAATTCACTAAAATATTTAAAATTTTATAGGTTTACACTCACCACAATACTTGATAGGCTTTCTTACTCTTCCAGATAAATAGTTATATCTGTTTTATGAAAATGGCATAAACATATACTTAACACCATAGAATAATGCCTAAATATTATGTGCATTCAGCATTCAAATGGACTAATAATGGTCCATTTTAAATAGTTAGGTATAAGTTATGAAAACTAGCTTTGTGCAGACATAAAGCTAACTAAGAGATCTATGAAAATGCAGCACCGTCTGTGACCATATGGTGGCAGAAGAATGTTTTCTGTTTCTTCACCTTTATTTTTATTGTAATAGTCACATTTTTGTACTTCTAGTTCTGCATTCCAGGAAGCTGACATAGTAAGCTCTAAGGACAGTGGTCATGGAGACAGTGAACAGGGAGATAGTGATCATGATGCCACCAACCGCGGCCAGTCAGCTGGTAAGTGTGAGTGTGACCAAAGCACAATCTGAATGCTGAATTTCATAAAATAAATAAATAAAATAAAAAGATTAGTGTTCTAGGCAAATTTCTGGCAACATTACAAACAGATGATGTCCTATGCAGATAATTATACACTTCAAGGTGATTTTAAAAATTTAATTAGCCTGCATTTGTTGGAGAGTTAAAGTTAGAAAACAGTTGTTGAATATGTATGAATATGAAAAATTTCTTCTTTATGTAATGTTCTTTAATTATACTGCATTCAAAGAGCCACTTTCACCTGGTCTAATCCCCGATCTTTAGTTAATTAAGGCATTATTAGCCTTGCTTATGGATGAAGTAACTGAAGATGAATGAAAGTGACTGACCTGCACAAGTCACAGAAGCATAAATGGTAGATTGGGGACTAGAATTGAAATTGCTTTCTTTCCAGAGCAATCTATTTTGTATTTCACAAAATATTGAGGATAATGAGAGAAGGAATGGTGCTTAAAAGTCACACATAGGTTGAAAGCAGTATTTTTTTATTTTTGGGTCCTTGTGTTTGGCAGCATAAGTAACACAAGATAATGTGTATTTTCTGAAAGGTCTTCATATTTTCAACAAGGTCCATGACTGCAGAAAAGTTGTATTTGTGTGTGTCAATGATAGTCACTAGTGAGAAATGCAGTGTTTTATATATATTTTATGTTATTTTATTTTACTTTTTTATTTTATCTTAATTTTTCTCCATATAATTTTAACCATTAAGTTTTAGTCACTAATGAGAAATGCAGGGTTTTATATATATTTTACATTATTTGATTTTACTTTTTTATTTATTTTATCTTAATTTTTCTCCAGGTAATTTTAACCATTAAGTTTTATAGTATCTTTATAACCCTAATTCCTAAGACTAAAAAAAAAGAAAAGAAATAAAGTATGTACCTTGTTTTTCGTATTTACTTATTCTATTTAGTTTATTATTTTTCTGACACATAACAACCTGAAAAGCCAGTCAACTTTTGTAACTTCTAAACATGTCTGTCATTGGATTGTCTCTGGTTAAAATCAGCTCCCTTGAGATTAATCGCACTTTGGTTAATGATATACCCACAGAGTAACAGGGCCCTTATTTTCAAGGTAGCCATGGTCCTCCTCGAGAGGACCCATTCCTTAAAACACTTGGTGAACCTCTGTATGGTGCTGAGGCAGTGTGTCAAAGGGCAGTGTACGCCCCATGGTCGCCTGGCAGCAGTGGTTGCTGCAAGCCTCTCACTTGGCTAATGTGTGCTGTGTCTGCGGCTGCCCTTAGCCTTGGGAAACCCAGGCAGGAGGAAGGGAAAAAAAAGCTGCTCAAGGATCTCTTTATATTGCTGCAAGTCATTAATATGCAGACCTAATGAGACTTGAGAACTGCCAAGAATCCCAGGAGGTCTCTGCCCCTTGCGGGCCTTCACGCTAAGTGAACAGAGCATCTATTTAGTGTCTGGGAACCTGACAACAAACCAGATCTTGCCAGAAGTTTATATTTGAGTACAAAGTCCCTTTCATTTTTAGCCTATATATGGCATATGATTTATTGTTATCTTTTAAAAGCTGAACATTTAGAATTGCTCATTCCTTTTCTTTTTTTCAGTTTCTTATTTTTTAGTAACTATTTCAACTTTAAAACAAAGTGCTTACTTAAAAAAAAAGTATCAGTTTCATGTTTTCTTGGGTGTGTTTTATTCCTTGCCCACCCCACCTCCCTTCATTTTTCTGTAGCACTCCAGTCTCAATGAACATTTCAATTAGTTTAGTCCCTCAGACATAATGAGTGTTAATAACCGATTCAAAGAAAGAGAAAAGAATAAACATCTGCAACAGGAGCTAAATTTGGAAGATGCATGGGACTATATTCATATAATGCCTCTTCCCAGTACCTATTTTCTTTTGCAGGCACTCAGTGTTACCACTCTGGTAGTGTTTCTTTCAAATTATTTGAGATGCCAAAGCGTTGGAAGGAATAACAAAATGCTAAAATGTGTTCTTCTAGAAAACATTTTAAAAAGAACAGCTTGTATTTTTCTTTATAAAAATAGAAAAATCTTTATTTAAATTCTTAAACCTGTAAAAGTATTAGAGAATTACCAATCCATTTATGTATATAATTATCAGTTACAGGACAACCACAACATATCGGGCACAATAATAGCTGTTATAGATGGTAATAATATATTGAAAATAATTGCATTTTTGTGTGCTGAATCACCACAATCAGATTTAATATGTCGAATTTTATTATAAGAATTCTTTTGAAATGTTTTCTTTTTCAGTATAAACCCTAAATACAGATAATTAAAATGCACTTAGTTAATGACTTTTTTCATATCATACTGACGTTGTGTACTATAAACTCATACCCAGTAGCTAGAATATTTCCAAAAAATAAAACAAGATTTTCCAAACTGACCTCTTTAGGAAATCTTATTCATAACTCATCCATTTTCAGGTTAGTAAAAAAATCATAGTAATTAGAGTCTACTCAGGTAGGTTTTATGTCGGGGGAAAATGTGAGATTATTAAGGAGGGGAAACAAATACTAGGAAGATTTTGATATTCATCTAAATCCTCTCCTAGTTCACACCTTTTCCATCCTACATTATGTCTGGCATTTAACCTAGTGTTTCTCACCTATTTAAACTTCATAAGTTTTTTTTTTTTTTTTTTTAATTCTCACTTGCTTTTTCTTTCTTAGCATCATCTGGTATCTATTTATTTAGATATGCCTTCTATTTATTCATGTATGAATAGCTTTCTCTTCTTTTCTATTTTTTCTTCCTCCCCCTTTCTTGATTTTCTCCTTTTTAAGCTATTTGAAGTCCCCAACACTGCTCATAGAAGGGCTTTAAACATGGAGGCAGCTGCAGAGAGAATTACATAAGCTTTTTCAGTTTTCTACTGCACCTGGCTCCATGTGTGAAATTCTTCCGCTTGACCACTGCTCTGTGTCACTTTCTTTAGCCTTGTCAAGGTGCTTTCCGTTTTCTTAACACACTATTGATGTATTGGTTGGATATGGCAGAAGTCCAGGAAGATGTGGTAAATGCATCACAAGAGGAAAAACTGATTAACCACAGCTTAAAGTGGCTAAGAAAGTCAAAGTGGACTTTAAATAAAAATATTTTAATTTTTATTTTGTACTAATTCAGAATTTTTAAATTATATCATTATTTATTTCTAACAGAATACTGGTAAAATATTATTGAATATAAACATAGCTGTATTTACTTAGGTATTTTATTGTTAGTGGAAATATATCAAAACGCAAAACCCAAAAATTGCCCTTGAGTCGGACTTGACTCATAGCGACCCTTCTTGGGTTTCTGAGGCCATATCACTAGGGAAGTAGATTGCCCAACCTTCCTTCCGAGGAATGGCTGGTGGGTTTGAACCACCAGCCTCTGGTTAGCAGTCAAGTGCCTTAGGCACTACTCTAGCAGTGCTCCTAATATCAAAAGAGATCTGTTTATTAGCAAGGAACTATTTTATTTATTAAATGTATACAATGTGCACATTATAGATATTAATCATGAATTCATAATTTTGTAGTTTAAAAAAAAGTTGTAAAAGAGTACTGTAATACAAGATTCAATGAATGTTACTTTTAATTTAACAAAGTTTACCTAGAAAATTTTTAAATTTTTCTTTTTATAAACTTTTCTTTCAATTATAAGAGAATTATGATTCTAAATGTGTTTACTTCTTCATTAATAATTACAAGATTGATACATCGTACATGGTCAAAATTTAGCTATAAATTAAATAACAAAGTGTTATGAATTACCAGTGTTATCAAAGCAATAGATAAAGTATATATTGAATTGAGTTAATAATTGCACTAATAGAATAAAGAAAAGAAAATTCTTGTCTTGAACACAAAATATAAACTTATCATTTCTAACTCTAATAAGGAGTTACATATTGGTGAACTAGCTTCTGGGTTTACAGTTAAAGTAAATTTACACCAGTGTTTGAAAAACTTCTACAGGTTTCTGGTGAATCTCTGAGCTACAGTTTGATAATGTGAACAGATTTATAATTAGAAAAAATATCTGACAAAATATTGAGAGAAAATGTAAACATTTTGAAGGATGATAGGTAGGCAGAACATATTGATATACACATTTTGATCCTTTTATCAGTGAATGATTTTTTATAGTTTTCTATCCAAAAACATTTTCCTAAAAACTATAGCAATTTTCGTGGTTAAGTTTAATATCTTTAATTGTCCTGTGTTAAATAGGTGAAAGGAAGACTGGAAATTTCCTCAAAAAAATGAAGAGTTTCATTTTGCTTTAAAATTATTTTATCACTTTTTTGGGAAAAAACATTTTATGAAAGATTATTGCATGGAAAAACTTAATATTATATTATGGTATTCACTAGAAAAGAGCACAAATTGAATACAATTCTAATAGTTTTGAAATAACAATTTGTTCATAGAGGTAATATCCGTTGTCTCTGACTGTAAGGGACAAGCTACTTGCCAGTTGAAAATACGTATTTTAAAATTTGTCTAAATGTATCTTTACGTAACAGGCAGTCTATCATATCAGCCATCATTTGCAGAGCAGATTATTTCTATAAAGTACAAATAAATCAGAAAAGAAATTTCAAGTAAAATAAAATAGGTTGAAACATTACATAGAAATTACTAAAATTTCAAAAGTGAGGTTAGACCTATATTTTCTGTTACATAAATCCCACCAGTTCTATGGTAAGAGTATTTGAATGAGGAGGAGAAAAAAAAAAAAAAAAAAGAGGTTAAACTTATTTTCTCTTCAGCCTTCAATTTGAGCCATTCAAGAAATTCAGAGCAATGTCAAAGTATGCAATTTAATTGGTAATATGGACTATATATTCTCTGGCATCCCTGTGTACCATGTAGTCACGTATCACAACAAAACAAATATATTTTTGCTTACAGTAAGTCCCTGGGTTACAAAAGTCCTGGACAACTTGTACTTGCCCTTTTGTTGTTGTTGTTTGCCCTCGAGTCAGCCCCGACTCATAGCGACTTGCCCTTTAGTGTTACGTAAATTTGCCCTCACTATGAAACTATTGAACTAAGCCCTGTTGTTGTTTGCCAGCGAGTCGGACCTGACTAATAGCGACCCCTCCTTGGGTTTCCAAGGCAGTATCACTACAGAAGTAGATTGCCCAACCTTCCTTCCGAAGAGTGGCTGGTGGGTTTGAACCGCCAGCCTTCTGGTTAGCAGTCAAGTGCCTTAGGCACGACGCGAACCAAGCCCTAGTCTCAACAAATTCTTTATCACAATCACCTTCATTTGCTGCTCTTGAAGCTTCTAAATCACAGAAAAGGCTTCAGCCTTTTCTTGCACTAAAGTAAGGCTAGATAAGAACCGCATGCACTTGTTCTGACTTGAGGACAAATATGATTTGAAGACTTATTTAAAGACACACTTTGAAATAGATCTTATTCATAACTTGGGGACTGCCTGTGTTTCCTAATTAAAATAATACATTTAGTAGGATTAGTGATGATGACAAACAATAAAACAGTTGTACAATAGTTTCCTAAAGTGAGGAGAGGTAATGGGATAAAGCTGTTTAATTTTCAAACTATACATCTAAAAAGACAAATTAAAAATGAATTGAAAGATCCACTTTCAATTCATTTTTCTGTTACTTATTAGAAGTGTAAAGAGTGCTGGTGGAACAGGGCCTAATGCATTTGACTACTAACCAGAAGGCTGGAGGTTGTAACCCACCAGCTGCTCCACTCCACAGAAGGAAAATAGGACAATATACTTCCTTAAAGATTTACCATCTTGGAAACCCAGTAGGGGTCTCTATGAGTCGGAATTGACTTGATAGCAATGGATTTGCATTTATTTTTTTGATTAGAAGTTTACTGATTTTTTACCTATATTATCTTTTTTAAGGTTTTTTGCTATTTTCTTTATGAAAAATAGGTACAATTGTTTTATGAGTAAAATTGGTGAAAAAAAAAATCCATGCACAATTTGAGCTGCCTTACTTTTAATGCTGTTTATAACTCAAACAAAACAAAACAAAACAAAACAAAACAAAAAAAAAACCTCACTGCCGTGGAGTCGGATCCTACTCGAGGCGGTATCAGTATGGAAGTAGATTGCCCAGTCTTCCTTCCAAGGAGTGGCTGGTGGTTTTGAACAACCAGCCTTCTGGTTAGTAGTCAAATGCCTTAGGCACTACACTACCAGAGCTCCTAATTCTATTTATATAAAGCTGTATAATATTATGACAATTCCATCTTAAAAGCATTAAAGCATAAGTTTATTAACAACATTTTTTTCTTACACTGTGTTCTTCCAACAAATAAACCTTAGTATATTTCTCACTTTTTCTAGTATGCACTTTATGTGTGTGTGTGTGTGTGTGT